AAAGAAACATCGATCGTCTGCCTCCTACACGACCCCTTACAGGGGATCAAGTCCACACCCAGGCATGCACCCTGACCAGGAATTGAACCAGTCACCTCTTGGTGCGTGGGACAACACTCAATCAATTCAGCCACACCGGCCAGGCTGTGTTAGTCTTTTTGTCTACATGTTACACTATCATTTACTTCAACTCTGTGCCTAAAGGAAATAGGCATGTTTTAATATCCAGATCAAATGCTATAATGAGCAATCCTTAGACACAGTGTCTGCTGCCACTCTGCTGGAGCTGGACCTTCACTCTTCTGCTCTCTGTAGACTCAGGACAGTTGCTAGAAAATAGGGGAATTTTTAGAAGTCCAAAACTAACATCATAGACTTTGGGACCTAAGGGTATTCTGGAGGAATACTGTCAGAAAGAGTCCATAAAGGTGCAAGTTATAAAGAGTACAGTAGCAGTTACCATAATTTTTACTAATAAAGTCTTGTGCTTTATTAGGTGTGATTGTGTTTCTTAATAAACGATTATAATCTTCCATCTTAGTTTTGAGGTATATATAAACATTCACTTCACAATTCTTAAGTACATTCTTGCAGTTTATATTCAGCTTTTAACTCTTAAAGACAAGTTTGCCTTATTACAGAGACATATATACAGGGTTGGGCAAAAGTAGTTTTACAGTTGTTCATATGGAAAAAGACACGCAGGCCATGATTATTACACAATAACTTTATTAACTCAAAAGAATCTTGCAACCATAAACCTACTTTTGCCAATCCCTGTATATAATAAGTAGCTAGAAACATTAAACACTATAGGCCCCTGTGGTTGCTTGGGTTATTTCAATAAATCTAGGCCTCAGTTTATGAATGAAGAAACCAAAAAAATGCTCTGATAATATGGAGATAAAAATCTTCTGAGGTTTAGAAAAAAAGTCAAGACTGCAAATGATAGATGTTGTGTTGCTTGCCATTTCTGTTCTATTTATGGTGTTCTGCATTAGGCAGGAGTCTAGAACTCAGAAGTGGTAAGTGACATAGCTGCCATCTCAATGTCTCTGGTCTAGGAGCTTCATAACCCAAGATAATGAAAGTCTAGATTGGTTTACATACAGAGCACTTTTTCTTTTCTCTACCAAATGATGTGGGAAAATTAAAAAGTAAGTTTAAGCCAGTATTTTAAATAATTGGGTTATGAGTAATTTCCTCATACTCAACTTTGCTCAAAGAAAGAGTTTCAAAATGGGAGAAAAGAACTTAAAATGGGATAGTTGACTTCAATTCCTTTCTCTACTTTGGATTGCTATAGTAAAGTTTCATTATTTGGCTTGAAGTATCTTCTATGTATATACAAGGCTAATATGTTAAGTGTCCCTCCCTCCATCCCACAGTCATTATGATGTGTACTGACCACCAGGGGGCAGACAACGCAGGAGCTGCCGAGCTGCAGTGACTTGGCAGCAGCAGTTCTTGGGTGATGCACCCTGAAACCAGAGAAGAGGGAGCCCAATTCCTCGTGGGGCTGTGCGATTCCACCTTCGGCCGTGTGTTATGTTGTTGCTGTGGCACTGTTGGCCCCAAATCTAGTTTACTGCACACTTGCGTTTACATTCCATACCCTGTACGACAGCAACTTTGCAGAGTGCCGTCTTGCACTCCAGAACCCCTTGGGGGATGTCGGAGAGCTGGTTTTGGCCCGATCCCCGCAGGCCAGGCTGAGGGACCCCACCTGCCAGAGGGACCCCACTCACTCCACAGATGCCTTTCCAGCCATGGCGCCACCCCAGGTGCGGCCAGCAGGGGAGAGACCTTGGGAGGTTGGCTCCAGGGTATGTCTGGCCTGTCTCATCCAGTCCCACCCTGCCAACCACCTTCTAATTAATAATTTCCTTTCAGTGTGCCCAAATCCATGCACCAGGGCTCTATTTTATTATAAACAGCATTGGATACTTAAATGTTTAGAAGATTAAATGTATTCATTATCCACAGCTCTGTCCTTTGCATTAGGATTGATAAGTGTATTTTAAGTAGAAAAACCTCACTAGTCTATATACTGACAGTTGCATCGGTTCCTCTATTTGTTTTAGACTTGACCTCAGTAGTCAGGGAGTCAATGTTTGACATACAATAAGAAACTGCTAGATATAATTTGATTGCATGGTTTATTCTAACTACCTTCTTATTTTCACATATTTAGTTTTTAAAATGTTGGTTATTTTTAATCTGACTCTTGTTTGGTTTATCTTAGTGTTGTAGTGATCAGTGTGATGCATCCAAAGGCAGTTACAATACCTTTGCTGCTTTTATGGTTTAAAATGCAATTGTATCATTCAATTGTTAAATCATATTCAGCTCTCTCAGTTATGCTTCCTCACCCTTTTCTTTTTTATCCTATGTAATAAAGAGCTAATATGCAAATGGTTATCACACCCTCGTGCCCTCCACCCCAGGGCCGGGGGACCTGAGGCCGGGCCAGGGGACATGAGGCTGTGCCTCCCGCCCCAATGCTGGGGCTGGGGGACCTGAGGCCACATTCCTTGCACCGGCGCCAGGGCCGAGGGACCTGAGGCCGTGCCCCCCCACACACACCCGGCAGGGTTTGCCAGGGGACCTGAGGTTGTGCCCCCTGCCCCATGGGGCTTGAGGGGGTGGGGCCGGCCCGGTCTGGGTCTCGCACGATTTCGAGGCACTCGCGGGTGGATGGGGACTTGACTCTGGGTCCCGCGGCGAGTCCCAGACTCTGACGAGGGAGATTTTCATAAACATTTTATTAATTTTCTTTAATCTCTGACACTTTCTATTATAGAGAAAGGGCAAATAGCAATATTAAAATATTTCCTCTAATTAATTACCTTTTAATGTGCACAAATTTTGTGCACTGGGCCACTAGTTTTAAAATAAAGGCATCTGCACTTTTCATTGTTTTACTTTCCCATTTACCTATTTTCTTTTCATTGATATACAACTGTAGAAATTATGGAGGCAGAATTCTACTAATCTAACAAACCCTGTTTTCTACTCTCATCTCTCAACATCCAGAATGTTGTAGAAGCTTAAGTTTTGTCACATTTAATTAGCATGAGATGCTCTTTTATGGTACAGTTTTAATACTTGGTTCATTATCTTCCAATTCCTTAAAATATTAATCATTTGCTATACCTTACATCCATCTTTTGCTTGGTACAACAAATTTTAGATATTTGGAGTCATGTGTTGTTTAAATTCCAAAGTTAAATAGTGGCAGATGCACAATTCAGCATGAAAAGTGTAATGATCTATGTGGATATTGTAAGTGACTGTTTTATTTTGCATTGATTTAATAATACTTGAATTGTTGTGGGGTTTTTTTTCTTTTCTTTTCCTTTTTTTTTTATCAGTCTCAGCCAATTAGTTTTTACTTCTATGGAGTTTATAAGTTAATTCCAATTTTATACCTAAATTTAAAAGCTTAAATGTATCATGTCTATTTTTAAATGTACAGGACATTCATGCTTTGTGGAAAACTGGTATTGAATAAGAAGATTCATTTATTTTAGCTTAGGACCTTAATTGTTACTTGAACTTAAAACTTCACTTTAATAACTAACATACTTCTTAAAAAATTCAGTTATTATAAACTTAATTCATTTCTTTGAGACCTGCCATGAACTCTTATTTTTACTTGGTGTTGGAGTTGAGAAATTAAGAAAGTGACACCCATTTTGAAATGCTATTTAATGTGTAGCATTTCAAAAGGCGGTGGCAGTGGAATTTTAAGCCTTTGTTTCCTTTGGTGCCAATCAAAACAGGCTGATTTGTAAGGTTTTCCCATTTTGGCAAAATCATAGCAAAATGTATTCTGTAATTTATGATGAAAAAATGCCAGTTTTCAATAAGTAAAATTAATAAGTTTTTAACTTCCTGTCATAATTACAATTTTCAAATTCTTATCTGGAATTTTAATATGTTAATTTAGGAGTACTTGGTATTTTAATGCATTGGTTATTTTTGAACTTACATTAATTAGGTGAGGAAGGTTAGTTAACCTGGAATGATTTGAAAGCTCAAAATTATGTCTTGCTGATTTTCTGAGTTGGGTAAGGGCTTTGAAAAATTGGAAATACTTTTTTCTTACATTAAAACAATCACAGTTTGGAAATAATTCTACCATCCATTAAGAATTTATAATGGAAAATGAACCCCAGTTACTAGTAAGTAATAATTATAGAGTATCAGAATAGATTGCAGCTATACATCTCATTTTAAAAATTGGTATCATTTGCTATAAAATTTAGTAGACTGGAATCTTGCTAAATTTTATTAGTCAAGGGGTTACACAGAATATTCTTTTCAGATTTGAGAAAAGAAAAAGAAAGGTTTTTTTCAGGTTTGAGAATTGTCACTATGATATCTTAGTTATAATTGCTGATATGATAAGGAGAGAGACATAACCTATTTTTACTATTATCTGCACCTTTTTTGGTGGAGAGAGAATTGGAATTTCTGTTCTTTGGGTGGAAAAATAAATCGGAAAATTCAAGCAAAATTAGGAATGTCATCAGTAATTTATGTGTTATCGTATCTTTTCTATTACTTTTCTTCAATGGAAGATATAGAAATCAAGCTAAGTATTTGCTGAAATTAATAATTGTTCTTAGTTTTTTACTGATCCAAATCTCATGGATCTGTGCAACTGCCCAGTCAATTGATTAGGATTTAATTCAGGATTTTAAAATTCTGTTTCCTAAATAAATGTACAGCTGTTTTTTTCTCCATTTTTTAAGGAATCTAGGTAAAAATGGCTTATCTAACAGTAGCATTTTATTGGATAAATGTCCGCCTCCAAGACCACCATCTTCACCATACCCGCCCTTGCCAAAGGACAAGTTGAATCCTCCTACACCTAGTATTTATGTGAGTCTGAATTGACTGACTAGAAATAAATCAAACTAGTGTTTGCATCTATCTGTTTTTCATGAGATCTTGCTTTAAATCAATGTGGATGCCTTCTAGGAAACATTAAAATTATTGGCAGCAGCTTGAATGTTTTTTTGGTGTGGGGTGGGGGGAATAAAGATGTTTTCAAGAAGATTTTGTAATAGCATGTAAAACATAACTTCTCAGCTATTATCTGATTACATTAGAGTAGTACTTTACAGGAATACTTTGTAAATGCCCCTAACTTTGAGCAGTATTAGGCAAAAACTACCTAAAAGTATAACATTTTTTGGAGTAAGATGGGTTTTAAATCTGCATTCTACTAGGTGTTTTATACATTGACTAAAAAAAACAAACACTATCATTTACCTTAAAAAAAAGTGTTTGAGAACATAAAATGTGGTAATAGATATGTCACTAAAAAGCTGAATAGATTATTTAAAACTGGATATTAGTTTTACTTTATGATGAACTGGGAAATTAGGAGTTCAATCAAAGCAACTCTTTTTTTATGTTTTTCCCAAGTAGGTCCTCCTACCCCATTTCCTTCCTTCCATCCTCCCACTTCTACCCAAATGAAAATATTTTCAACTATAAAGTTTGTTTTTAGAGATTTGGTTCTGTTTTCGCCCTCTAGAGGCCAAATGTTATATTGATCCTTCCCTAAACCAGTTTCTATTGATCCTTTGGTATGTAAGGGAAGCACTGGGATAGAACCGTAACAAAACTTTTAAACTGAGGTCTGAGGAGTGGAGGGAATGCAAGATTAAGATTCATCTTTTATGGGTCTTCTTCTTCAGCCTACTTTCATTTTGGTAGTATGTTTTTTTAATTGATTTTTTTCTTTTTCTGTTTGTGATTAAAAAGTGATATATATAAAGTTTATCATCACCATTTTTATGTGCACAATTAGTAGTTTTAAGTGTATTCTTATTGTTGAAAAACAGCTCTACATAACTTTTTCATCTTGCCAAACTGAAATTCTATACCTATTAAAATGCACTCCCTTTTCCACAGTCTCCCCAGCCACTGGTAACAACCACTTTACTTTCTGTTTCTATGAATTTGACTACTTTAGAAACCTTATATAAGGGAAATTGTATACAAATTTTGTGTGTGTGTGACTTGTTTATTTTCACTTAACATAGTGTCCTCAAGTTTCATCCATGTTGCAGCATATTAACAAGATTTTCTTCCTTCTTAAGGCTGAATAATACTTAAAACAGTCTGATTTTGGAATTTAAATTTTATTTCTCCCACATATTTTGTTCAGGATATAATGGAAAAGAGAGATGTGTGTGCTTATATCTAATTACAGTTAAGCTCAAAAGACATAGTGATGAAATACTGTAAAATACAAATAATGACAGATGGGATACATTATTAAATCGCAATAAATAATAGATATGAATTTGGCATAACATTTAAATTAAAGGTCTGTTTTCCAGAGATCTAACTGTATCTTTTAATTTTACAGTTGGAAAATAAACGCGATGCTTTCTTTCCTCCATTACATCAATTTTGTACAAATCCAAACAACCCTGTTACAGTAATACGTGGCCTTGCTGGAGCTCTTAAGTTGGGTAAGCTTTAATAAGAAAAAGGAAAAGTTTGTATATTTTCTTTACTATCTGTTAACTTTTGAAGCACAGGAAGAAAATTGTTTCTATT